CCTGTAGAGGCACTTGAAGAGACCAGAGAAGAGTGAAGTGGTCACAGATGCATGAGTTCACCTCTGAAAAGCCTCTGCAATGTAGAGTGCTGATATAATTTGAAATGAGTCATAGCTGAGCCTGAGACTGATAGAGTGAAATAACAGGCCTCAGGATAGCCAAACACATTAGAGATTTACTTAAAGTCTGCTTTAGGTGTAAAATGACCAGTCACAACAGTTTGCTTTTTGCTGTGACATTTAGGATCAAGTAAAAATACACTGAACAACATTAGAAGCGCAACACCTTTGTTTTTGATGAGCTAATCTCAAAGATCTAATACTTTTTCTATGTACACACAATATACATATTTACCAGGGGTGCCATTCATTCTGACCACAACTGTACACACACACACACACACACACACTCACAAGTATTTCAGTATTTTAAGAGCATAGTAGTCTGTCATTTCTTTGCAGAATCATTTAATGTTTTTTTTCCCCACCAGGAAAAAACAAATTGTAATGTATAAAACTAGTTGAAATAGTGTGAACTGTTGGCTTTAACAAATGTGTATACCATGGATTAACAACCTCATAGTGTCACGGTGTGTATGCAGGAATACAGACGAAGGAAGAATAATAAAATTCCAACAGTGTTTAATACTCATAATCCACAAGACATGCAAACAGGTGTTAGCTATGCCTCACTAAACGTGAACGAGATCAGACAAAGAGAGAAGACGAACTAAACAATGTAATTAATTGAACACAGCTGGAACAAATAAACTAATAAGGGTGTGACCATTGCAACTAAAGAGTGGTGGGAAATCAAACAAAGACAGATGTGAACTGAATAAATACAAACTAAAAGTCCTTCAACTGAATAAAACTGAATAACAGAGAACACATAGCTCATGGTAAGGCTGTCTTGTCAATGTTATCAAGTCAATTGGAGAAAATGAGTGGGATTTTTACTTGTAGAGCCCTCTGTTGCGCTCTATTATAAAACCAACACACCAAACACTCATATTTGACTATTTTAAAAATGGGCATTTCATCGATTTTCATTCCTGTGTTTGGTGTTCACGAGGCAGAGGTGATCATTTGCTCTTATCGAGGCTGTTGTTAAATCTCTTGCTACAACACAACTGCTCACAGTTTGTTTCTCAGATCTCTCTAAGTGTTGTTAGACAGCGAGAAGTGTGAGAAGAGCGGGACCCATTGGTCCAGTTATCTCTAACAAGCCTTTGGAAAAATGCCAGACATCAAACATGTGCTCTACGAAGTCATTACATGCGTGGGTGAAATGCCTTATGCCATGTATAAAATGCAGTGTATGCAGCCTATAGCCTGTTTGTTCATTTATTAGGCTACCATTTTGAATTTAGTGAATTTATCATTTCAGTGCTTCTGTAAGGGTGAATCTTATTAAGAACATGTCAGAAATGTGAGGTGTTTCACCACAAATGCAAAAAAAGAAATTATATTTTAATAAAGATTATTTTAGGATTATTATTGATACATCATTAATTATTTGTTGCAAAACATTTCATTTGGGCTCATTAAGATTTAATGTTTCAATGAATGGCAATGAGAATTATAGGGGAAATGTGCCATGAAAATAATGTCACAATGCAAATAATGGTCATACAAAATTATCCAAATTAGCCAAATTATCTTTATGCATATATTATCTAAAAGTATGAGTTTGGTCCTCTAGCGGTTATAAAACAAAACTGCATGCATTTTGTGGCAGAACATTGTTTTGGTTGTGCTTTAGTTGTGCTTTTCCATCTTAATATGTTTAGATGGAAAGGATCTCAAGCTGACTAACTGAAGATGTTACAGTGTATCCATTCATTGACACATTGCTTTCTTGAAAATAAAATAATGAAATGACCCTTCACATATAATGTTTAAAATGAACTCTGTTTGAGAGCTACATTTATCTGTGTTAATAAAATGCTTTTCTCATAAACTTGACAGGTGACGTATGTAATCTACACAATTTCCTATGAAAACCATCCTTGTGTTGAAAATATACATACTTACCATAGTGAATCAGGATAATTCAAAAACACATTTTGGAAGAAGGTTTGATGATGTATTGACTCATTATACTCATTATGATGCTAATGTGAAATGTGACAGGGAAACGTTTTATTCACCAAATTTTTGTAAATAAAGAAAAAACAGTTTCAAATAGTGAGTCTATATTCTAGGCCTTGTAAATTAAAAATGGAGTCTTGGTTTGCTTATGGGAGCAACTCAACATCTCTGATTAGTTCTGGATCTCAGCCAGACAAACAGTCGTCTCTGAGGACACACCACAACTCGACAAACACATCTCCCTCTCTTTCTCTTTTCTTTCATACATATAAGCCCACAATTCATAACTCTGCATCTATACAACCTGCATTATTATGTAAACCTATCTTCACATTTTTGTGTGCCTGTCTGTGCGAGTTGTTCTGGGTATCTGACCTGGTGAGGCATGACACCAGCTGGTTTTACAAATGTGTTAGCCTCCCTGGCTTACAACGCTAGCTCATTAGCTAGAATCAGATGTTGTTCTGCAGGGCAAGAACAAATGTCATCAGGGTATTCTGCACTGAAGGACTGAACAAGCACCTTGGCTCTGTCTCAATTCACATACAATTAGAAAAGACACTATGTTGCAGCTAGAGCTTGGAACTGGACTAAATGGCCTCCACTGCTATCCAAAACAACAGTTTATATTATTGAAACTAATGGATGAAACCAAAGAAGAAATGTCTGGGTCATATTTCACCCTATAACATCAGCGTTAAAAAGAGAGAAAAGTCCTTGCTTTAGCTGAGGAAAATGAAGCATATTCTTTATGACATTATTTTCAATATGATTAAGTATGTGCACACACAAACATTTATAATTATATTAAATCCTTTTTTATTCAAATCTTAATTTAAATAAATTATATTCAGTATGTCAATTATTATAACCGTACTACGCAATTGAAATAATCATATCACACTTTTTGCAATACATTAATTACATTGATAAGATACTTTTCAGGGGTACTTTTTATAATTAAAAAAAATGTGTTTATAATAAATAGTCACAGTGTTATAGGCCAATTAGACAACTTGTAATTAGAAAATCATATTTCATGTTACAAAAACAGCCTTCTTCCACATCAGAAACATCGCTAAGATACGGAACATGTTATGCGTTTCTGATGCAGAAAAGTTAGTTTATGCATATATGACCTCTAGACTGGATTAATGTAATGCATTACTAGCAGTAACTAGATTACACCAGCCACAAAGACTTAAGATGACCCAACACCAGTGAAGAGACGACTCCAACTGCCACATTTTCTATATATTGTAATCATTGTGATCACAAGTTGTAATGATTTTTTTCTGCCTAAAATTAATGGGTTATTCTTCAACTATGGTACTCTTTGAGCTAGACAGTTTCAGAAAATAAAAACATTTCTAAAAACAGTTTTTTAGTATCAGCTGGTTTCCCAATCTGTCTAGAAACCTTCCCTTAAGTTGGCTGCACTGATTTGTATTGAATAATATATATATATATATATATATACAGTATATATACTGTATATATATATATATATATATATATATATATATATATATATATGAAGAGTTCAGATGCAAAAGCCTCTAAGTGCCATTTGAAATTTTCTTCTAGAATGATCATTTTTATCAAGCTTGTATATTTAAGTTCAGTGATTTTACTTAAATGTCAATGATAATTACCTATTAATTGTTATTTAAGTGAAATTACTGAACTTAAATATACAAGTTTAATAAAAATCATCATTAAAGAATAAAATTTCAAATGGCATTTAGAGGCTTTTGCATCTGAACTCTTCATATATATATTGGCATTTTTATTTCACAGCCCAAGAAAACATAATTTCTATCACATAGCAAAAACATGTTTTGAAGAGAAAATAATTCACACACATCTATGATCAAATTTGCAATTTATTTATTTTTCAGAAATGTAACTGTAAAGATTTTACAATGTTTACACTAAAAAAACCCACCTAAAACTAGATCACTGGAACATTTAATTTACTTATCATAACTCAAAATCATGTATTTCTTAAAGTGTATACACATATACTATAACTGCTCAATTATCAACACCACAGAATATAGTTGGTTTGATTGTATGTGTTTTTTTATATATATGTTTTACTTTAAAATATGTGTTGTGGTGGAAATGACATGTCGTGGCGGAAGAGACAGTGTGTGGCGGAAATGACATAGATAAGCAACTTCCAATTAAAAAATGCATTTTCTGTAATGATATGTATTTTGAAATGCGCTATGTTTTCACATGTATAAATATACATATATACTGTAGATGTGAATTAAATTTAACTTAGTTTGTTTTATTTTCTTGTGATTTGAGGGTGAAATGTTTATATGGGATATGATATTTGCATAAATGAATGAATGAATATAATTGACAAAAATAAAAAACAACAGCCTACTCTATATATCATATTATGTCTAAAATAAGCAAACAAACAAATAAATAAATACATTTTTTAATTACATTTCTTGATTTTTAAATGTATAATTTTGCCATTATAATTAGTTCCTCCTGTCTCATTATGCAAAAATAACATACCTGAAATGGTTGTTGTTGTTGTTTTACCTTTCAGTTGGAGCAAAATACACAGGTAGAGAGGTCAACTTCCTGGCATAATCCCATTTCTCCACAGACTTGTCCAGCAGCTCGATCTATACCGGGTAATGATCTGTCTTACGTTAGCACTGTGGGTCAGAGGGTGGACTTCAGATTTCTTGAGGGGCTGAAAAAAGAACTTAAACTATAAAAAGAGCTGTGAGACTTCAGAATGTTAAAAAAGTTAGTCAATGTAAAAAGTACTTTCCAAAGGTGAAAGGTACACTAGCATTAGGCTACTTCTGTATCTGCATATTGAGCTGGGATACTAGAAATTGCTTTATCGTTCTAAAAATGCAGGCTTCTGGTTCTTAAAAAAGATGTGTACCAAGGTCAATATATGTGTGCTAATAGTATAAGTGCATTGATTTTGGACAGTGCCTGTGAAGTGAAGGGTGCTCTCCTTCCCAAGAGGGACTTTGTAAGCATTTTGATTGAGGTCCACCTGGTGGTGAGACCTCTGGAGGTCACCTTACTCAACCCTACGCTGCAGGAAGCCAAACAGCTTCTGACAGGCATTTAGCAGCAGACAGGATTGTTGAGATGAAAGCCACTCTTCCATTTGTCCAACGACCCCTGTGGAGACCGAGCCGTGTATCCATCAACCTGCTCAAGGAAAGGTGAAAGAGCAAAAGAGAAGACAACTGATGAACTGCTCTTCAGAATCCAATAATTAAGTTGTTGTCAGCTGTATATACCCCGAGGGAAATAAAAAAGGGCTGTTGAATGGGAGGAAAAAGGAGGATAAAGGGACCTTGTGTAAAGAGAAGTGCTGATGGAGTGAGCTGGGCTGAAACAGGTAGAGGAGAGATGGCACGTGTGGAAGGATTGTTTTAGGGAGGAAGTCAGGCATGGCCAGCAAGATAATGAGAAGATCAGATAATTAAAAGTGATGACAGAGAGCCCGTCTGTCCCATATTAATTTCAATGTGAACAGTGGTGCGGACGGACGGACAGACGGAAATACAGATAGATAGATAGATAGATAGATAGATAGATAGATAGATAGATAGATAGATAGATAGATAGATAGATAGATAGATAGATAGATAGATAGAGAGAGAGAGACAGACAGACAGAACTACAGATAGATAGAGAGAGAGAGAGAGAGAGAGAGAGAGAGAGAGAGACACAGGCAGACAGACAGACAGACCTACAGATAGATAGAGAGAGAGACAGACAGACAGACAGAGAGATAGACAGATAGATAGAGAGTGACAGACAGATAGACAGACAGACAGGCAGGCAGACAGACAGAGAGACAGAACTACAGATAGATAAAGAGTGACAGACAGGCAGACAGACAGACAGACAGACAGAACTACAGATAGATAGAGAGTGACAGACAGACAGACAGACAGACAGAACTGCAGATAGATAGAGAGACAGACAGACAGACAGACATACATACAGACAGACAGAACTACAGATAGATAGAGAGTGACAGACAGACAAACAGACAGACAGACAGACAGACAGACAGAACTACAGATAGAGAGTGACAGACAGACAGACAGACAGACAGAACTACAGATAGAGTGACAGACAGACAGACAGGCAGGCAGGCAGACAGACAGACAGGCAGGCAGGCAGACAGACAGACAGACAGAACTACAGATAGATAGATAGATAGATAGATAGATAGATAGATAGATAGATAGATAGATAGATAGATAGATAGATAGATAGATAGATAGATAGATAGATGGATAGCTGGATAGATGGATAGATACATGGATAGATCTAGTTTAGAACAACTTTGTAGTATATAATAGTACATATACACTCACCGGCCACTTTATTAGGTACACCTGTCCAACTGCTCGTTAACACTTAATTTCTAAGCAGCCAATCACATGGCGGCAACTCAGTGCATTTAGGCATGTAGACATGGTCAAGACAATCTCCTGCAGTTCAAACCGAGCATCAGTATGGGGAAGAAAGGTGATTTGAGTGACTTTGAACGTGGCATGATTGTTGGTGCCAGAAGGGCTGGTCTGAGTATTTCAGAAACTGCTAATCTACTGGGATTTTCACGCACAACCATCTCTAGGGTTTACAGAGAATGGTCCGAAAAAGAAAAAAACATCCAGTGAGCGGCAGTTCTGTGGGCGGAAATGCCTTGTTGATGCCAGAGGTCAGAGGAGAATGGCCAGACTGGTTCGAGCTGATAGAAGGGCAACAGTGACTCAAATAACCACCCGTTACAACCAAGGTGGGCAGAAGAGCATCTCTGAACGCACAGTACGTCGAACTTTGAGGCAGATGGGCTACAGCAGCAGAAGACCACACTGGGTGCCACTCCTTTCAGCTAAGAACAGGAAACTGAGGCTACAATTTGCACAAGCTCATCGAAATTGGACAATAGAAGATTGGAAAAACGTTACCTGGTCTGATGAGTCTCGATTTCTGCTGCGACATTCGGATGGTAGGGTCAGAATTTGGCGTCTAAAACATGAAAGCATGGATCCATCCTGCCTTGTATCAACGGTTCAGGCTGGTGGTGGTGGTGTCATGGTGTGGGGAATATTTTCTTGGCACTCTTTGGGCCCCTTGGTACCAATTGAGCATCGTTGCAACGCCACAGCCTACCTGAGTATTGTTGCTGACCATGTCCATCCCTTTATGACCACAATGTACCCAACTTCTGATGGCTACTTTCAGCAGGATAATGCGCCATGTCATAAAGCTGGAATCATCTCAGACTGGTTTCTTGAACATGACAATGAGTTCGCTGTACTCAAATGGCCTCCACAGTCACCAGATCTCAATCCAATAGAGCATCTTTTGGATGTGGTGGAACGGGAGATTCGCATCATGGATGTGCAGCCGACAAATCTGCGGCAACTGTGTGATGCCATCATGCCAATATGGACCAAACTCCCTGAGGAATGCTTCCAGCACCTTGTTGAATCTATGCCACGAAGAATTGAGGCAGTTCTGAAGGCAAAAGGGGGTCCAACCCGTTACTAGCATGGGGTACCTAATAAAGTGGCCGGTGAGTGTAAACTTACATATCAATATAATACAAATAATTCATTAAGATATTCATGTTTATAAAGATACATACAAATAATGTGTTATGCTATGGCAAAGAAATGTCAACTTTTTGCAGGTCTACCTCGTTAAAATATTAAGATTACCCGAAGAAACTTGACAATGATGTTCAGATTAGCAGGTGAGTTGGAACCAGGTGCAAGTCTGATGTAAACGGATGTCTGTGACGGACAAAGTTGTCCTCTGGCAAGAGTGCATTAAATCCACAGCCTGTAGTAATCAAACATGACATCTGATCATTAAATTCGTCCTACAAAGTTGGCTAGAGCTGAAGTACAATAATGAGAGGGGAAGTTTTATAGTTGTATAGCCTCGAACAAGCACATAGTTTAAGAGTAATATGTTCCGTAGTTAATTTCTCACTGCAAAACGTGCTAACACAATCTTCTTAAAACGATAGTTCACCCTAAATGAATAAAAATGTTGAGCTTTATTTTGATTGTTCCCTTAGACATTCAGTTGACAATAAGAACTATTGCACCTACATGTCAACTCTTAATAGGCGTCATCATCGTACTGTCTTATCGTTCCCAAGGTTATTAGATGCATGTTGGGTACGTTTGTAATGATCTTAGGATTACCAAAATAGGATTGTCTGTAGCAGTCTTTAGTTGACTTTTGGTGCATTGTTACTTAATCATAAACATGTCTAAAGGGTTACTATAGAAAAAAAAAAATGTCACTGTTTACTCATCGTCATGCCATTCAAAATCCATATGACTTTCTCTTTTCTGTGGAACATTAAAAATAAATAAATAAATGAAATAAAACAGAAGAGTACATTTTTGGTTTGAAACAGCATAATGGTGAGTAAATGACGCAGAATTTCTACTTTTGGATGAACTAACCCTTTTACGTTTATGACCAATCAAAACAGTAGATTATGACTAACTTTGAAATAGTACAGAAAAAATGCTTTGCAAATTTTGCATATCAGTTTCATGCTAAACTCAAACAAGTGAGCCCTGGAGCGACCTCTATCATTATCAAACCTCTACAGCTGAGAAAACTGCAGGATTTGCGATTCTCTATGATTCTCTTGAAGGTGAATCCTTAATGTTTTCATCCATGCAAGGTGTCATCCTTTCCCCCAAGATAATCATAGACAATTGCAGTCATGTGTGATAAGTACAACATTTTTTTTCTGCACTCCAAGTCTACATCATGTGATCTTCCCCAGCTCACACAGGAAGCATGCCGATAATTGCAAGGTGCTAATTAAATAATTGCTGATGAACTACCATTTAAATTGGTGCTGGTGTCTATGTGTGTGTGAGGAAGAGAAAACTACCTGCATTTTTCCCACATGGAAGTTTTATCGTTTAAGAACAGGGTGTAGGAAAAGGTTGTAGCCGTGACAGTGCAATCTCTAGGGCCTGCTGTAATGATGGCCGCTGACATAGATTCATGCTTATCATTACTCTGTGCGGTTTACAATAACACCTTGGCCGGCTTGAGAGTGTCAGCGGGGAAACGGTATTAAGAAAAATGCCTAGCATTACATTTTAGCCTGCAGTGAAAAAAAATGCCTATCCATCTCTCATTCTGGGTGGCTAACTGATGGATAACAGAATACAGCAATAACACGGGCAGCCTGGCAAATTGTCGGAACACTCCTCACCTTGTCGGACAGGGTCTTGCGTTTGCCTAATCTTGGTCACGTGTATTAAGACTGCAATCTTGTCTTTTACACCAGATGTTCTCAACTGCTGGATCACGACCCCAAAAATGGGTTGGAAATTGGGACATGAGAATACAACTAATGCAATCATACCAAATAAATAGGCTTGTAAACTTTTAGTTAGAAAAACGCCTTTTGTTGTTGTTGGCATCAATGGCAGTGGGTCCAATAGCATCAAACTGATATTTCACTGCACACACACTCTGTCAGTTTGAATCTAGACTAAAAACACACCTCTCCTGGCATACACATAGACTATTATCAATTTCTATTATTAAAATCAGTGATTGCCAGGCTGCATAAATTAGGTCATTCGGATCCGGGAACACTTCCTATAACTAACTACATCGTACAATGAATGGCATATACACTAATATTAGTCAGCCTATCTCATCTTTATACCAAAGTCACCGCTTTATAGATGGTTACATGCTTTATAGATTAATTGAACTAATTCACTAATTGATGATCTTTCCAATTGTTGTGTAGAGATCATGATGTCAAGACAAATCATGCACACAAGAAAAAAAAATGCCATAGAATTAAAAAAAAAAGGAAAAGATAACTGCTATGTTTTCTCTCACATGATTTGTCGTATCACGTGCCCCCATCTCAATACCGAGGGGGACAGAGAGAGTGACTTTTTTTCTGAATTGCATGAGTTATTTACGTTTATTTAAAAGTTATAGTTATATAATATAAGTTATGTATATAATGTGACAGCAACTGCCTAGAGATTCACTAAAGGCTTCTAGTTCCTCTTTGCTATTTTTCTGGAAAGTGGACACATAAAAAAAAATCTCTATTTACTACCCCTTATTTCCCTTTATAGACGCTAATGGGTCTGTGAGAATGCACCATTGATGAAAAAAAGAAGAAATTAAACCCATTTTCCACCAGACATGTCTCTCTATCTCTTAAATATGAACATTTTTTCTTTTCTCCATTAAAGACACAGTCCATAAACTAGCTTACATCTGTGCTGCAGTTAAATTATTACCTGCAAGACTAATCGGGAGGTGGTTTCAAACTTGAATTTCTGTCCAACTATAGAGCCTGACACAGATGCGGTGGTCAAATACACAGCGATGCTATTTTGGTGACAGTTTCATTAGCTCATGACAATCCCATCAACACCTCTGTTAGCACATTCAACACATGTGGGGATTCTGTATGGCGAAGTTCCCGATGCGTGTGTATATGACGAGCATATGCTAAAACGGCCAAATGAAGCATCTGTTTGGAAATTACTGAAGAGCAGCGGTAGTAATGAATACATCTCATATGCAGAGGCGAATCCACAACCCAAACTTGGGGCCTGACAAACGGATGCGGTGATTAAATTCACTGACTTGATTGGGGAAACACAGGACATCTGTGATGGTGGAAAACATTAGCAGCCGAGAGTCGGCTCTTTGCAATCAGTGAGGGGAGCAAGCATGTATTTTACATATCGTTTCAATCAAAAGCAATCACTTAACCTGTTAAGAAACCTGCTTACCTGCATCTCATGCAAATCTGCATTGGACAAGTGAACAACGGGATTGTTCAAATTTCAGATTAATTGGAATTTGAAAAGAAATTCAAAATAAGTAATCCATTCTGGGAAATGAAGTACATCTCTATCTTTGGTCACTGTGATTTTGCCAGATATTTTTCCCTTGATCAACATATTTTGTTGATCCTGGAACCTGTTGATTTCCTTTGTCCAAAAATGTAGTCCTAAACATATCCCTACCCCTAAACTTAACCCTATAACGTATCCCTAAAGAGGGAAATGATGGTTAAAGGGATACTCCACTTTTTTTTTTTTTTTTTTTGGAAATAGGCTCATTTTACCACTCCAAATGCATTTAGATGATTTGTTTTTATTATTTATTTAGAAGAATATCAGTAACCAGACAGTTTCTGGTCTCATTGACTTCCAAAGTATATTTTTTCCTACTATGGAAGTCAATGAGACCAGAAAATGTCTGGTTACTGATATTCTTCTAAATATCAGAAAATCGGCTGTATGGATTTGAAAACGGTAAAACTCTACAGTTTAATTCTGGGGGAGTCGTAAAATGAGCATATTTCCAAAAAAAAGTGGAGTATCCCTTTAATAAAACTGATGTAGAAGCACCTGGCCCTGGCTGTAAGCCTACTTGTCTAACACAGTCTCATCCCAAAAAGTCATATAACTGACGTTTTGGGACGTATTTTGACCATACGTCAATATCCGCCTTTTTAGGGCCCCCTTAAACGTCGGTAGATGGCGATCCCGGGCCGTCATACAACTGACGCTTTACCTTTAACGTCAGTTAGGTGACGGGTTAGGTTTAGGGTTAGGTTAAGGTATGGGGTAGAGTTAGGATCCCATAACCTCATCTACCGACGTTTAAGGGGGCCCTAAAAAGGCGAATATTGACGTATGGTCAAAAGACGTCCCAAAACGTCAGTTATATGACGTCTTGGGATGAGACCGGGTTGACTTGTCCCTCAAATCTGATTGGTTGATTGAAATGTAGTATTTTTACCACTATGGAAGTCAATGGGTCTAGTTAACTGTTTGGTTACTGACATTTGTGTTTAGCAGAAGAAAGAAATTCATACAGGTTTGAAACAACTTGAGAGTGAGTAAATGGTGACAGAATTTTCTTTTTGAAGTGAACTATCCCTTTAAATGAACAAACTCAAATGGACCTGAATAAACTGAGACAGGAGTGATTGATTTATTAGTCTGATCTTGAGCACCTTGGTTCAGGGACAGTTAATGTTTAATGAGGTGGTTTAGCCCAATGGCCTTAACCTAGATTTAAAGTTCAGACTTGACTGAATCCATTACTCATGATTACTTGTGAAGAGACCACCCAAGTAGGTCAATAATACCTGGAGAAAGTTCTCCGTTAGCATTCTGTCATCTCAAAAGGAGGTACTCGAAAATAATTAAAACAAAGTATGATATATAATTGTAATGGTATGTAATTGTATATATGATATCTGTGTTTTGTTTGTTGCTTGCAAAAAAAAAAATGGTCAAGTCATAGCATGCATATATGATAAAACATGCTATTTGCAGCCAGAGGTGTAGTGTAGTCAATGCATCTATCAGAAGGATCTTACTGGATGGCGTAAATGAGCAAAACCAACCCTGTGAGACCACCTGGAGCGAAACAACACTATTTTTTCAAGCCATAACATAGTTTTCTATTGGCATTTTGAATGAGAGGAACTGAGCTGTGTATGATCCACAGCCATGTGAAGCCCTCTGAGAGTTGATTGTTTGTTCTGTTCTATAACAAGCTAAAAGGAGAATTGAGCCTTGTTGTTTTATTCAGGGATATATTTGGGTCAGTGGAACATGAATCCAAACGCTGCTGAGATGGTAGATCCAGCAGTTCTCAGCAAATCCATGATATCATGATTTCAAATGTGAGCATGGGATATATTGCACAAATAGCAATGAAATCAATAAAATAAAAGGTCAAAAATAATGAAAAGTTATCGACATTGATTAACAGGGTCAAAGAGAGTGACTGTCTTGTTT